AGTGGGTTGGAAAGGGAGAGTGTGTGAGTTGGAGCCATAATCTATACAATTTACATATAACTGTATGCAGTCGCATGGTGTAAACATGTTGAAAATTGAAATCACCTTCTCTATCCAGAAGTGCCTGCAGCTCCAAGGAATTATTTGCCCATTATTCCATCATATGATCAGCGAAACTACACATTTTTTTGCCACCCACAGTAATAATAAGTGGTACACGCTCTACATGGTGAGCCACGGGAGTGCCCCCGTTTTTCTCTTCTGCACATTAATTAAACATGAATAATAATTATCTACATTGCAGGTAAATCCTAAATTGACTGGTTGTGGCAACCCAGCATCTCTCCCACTTTATTCATTTCAAACTCTCTAAACGGTTTACTTCACCAAAACACAGCAGCTTGAAATTTATACTGACAGGAAGCACCTCCTCCTCTGCTTAATATTGAAGCACATCCTGCTGTACTTTTAGTGTGTCACCATGGCTAATGTGAGATGTAGGAACAGGCAGAAACAGAGATAATGTGCAGTTTGACCATGACTTTATGTCAGAAAAGTTTAATTTAAAGTAATAATACATTTTTTCATTAGTTTTTAAATTTAAAACTGAATCAGTAATTCAGACTAAGAGGGGTTTTACTACAACTGCACTGACAACTCTCCTAGATTGTATCTGACTGACTTGAGTTGAAAGGCTAGTCCTAAATTGGTTTCTGAACTCAGTCAATACGTTTTAGAGCAGAGAAGTAATTAGTATGCTGTTATTGATACAACCTCCAGTTCCTTAGAATTGAATATACTTCTACCTCAGTGAGTTGATATGGGTTCTGGCGGTGGCCTCAAAAGTTGTCCTTACAGACTTAATTTCCCTTCTGCTGAAGCCAAAATTACTTGGAAGGTTAAAGTGGAATACATTGTGATGCTCTGCCAATTGTGCCTGCAGATGCAGAGCCATTAAAGCAAGGGTCTTTTGTAATCCTTGGTTGTCTCCAAGAGAGAACAAAGGATGCCTGCATGTTGCGGCATATTGGGCAATGCAATGTGACAAAAAAAGAAAGAAAGACACAAAGAAAGTCCAAATTCTCATAGGGGTATTGAAGCAAATCATCTTCTTGATGTCAATGTTATCAGGCTCATAATCCTTGGATATGATTGGCCAGTGACCTGGGACTAGGGCCAGAACAACATTGATTTTTATTAACGATAGTCTACTAGCTTCTAACCACACATTTGTATACCTGCTAAATCCCACTGATATTCATTTTAAAAGTTAGATGAGTTAAATTGCCATATACAGTTAAAGTAAGGTGATTTCGAGAAATCACACAATTTTTAATCAATTCTGAGTTAACTGAGAATGTGGTACTGTTGACTGCAAACTAGAAATTCACCTCAGTTTCTCATCTTGAAAAAATAATTATACTTTGTCTAGCAATCTAATAAAAAACCTAATTGTTATAAAGAACCATGAGTTATACAGTGACTTCATGTTATAATTAATAACAGTGAGTTCTGTGTGACCTCCAATCATTCTTCACCACCACCTATGTTTAATCTCAGCCTTTTTGGCAAAAACACCATTCTGCTCAGCCCAAAGGAGGAGTACCAGACATGAGCTAAAATAGACATTTAGACTTGCAAATAAATGGAGAAAAACACTACTCTCATCCAGAATACACTTTTGCTTCCCAAACAGACTTGTCAGCTGGGGCTTTTGGTCTTAAATCAAACGTGTAAAGAATAGTACCATGCAGGATACAGCATTAGGTCAGTGTCCTCCTAATGTTTGGATTGTAACTAATGATTTACTGTAACCATAAGGGCTGAGAGCACTTCAAATGTTTCCTTGTTTTTGGCTTTAATAGATTTCTTTGGTCTTATCCGGTGTGGTTTTTGTCATGATGAGTTCACTGAGAAAAACAGATGTTTAACTTGTCGGAATCATCCATCCATTATGATATAGGAATATTGTGAGCATTTGTAAGTTACCATTGGTTTTGAATGGCATGGGAGGGCGCACATTAGGATCTCAGGGGTGCTCTGAGAGCAGCAAAGCAAAATGAAATATTTTAATTAAATGTAAACAAAACAAACATGCTCATCATATTTACTTGCTGGCCCACTTCATTTGTTTACATGCAGTTGTGTGAATAATGTTAACATACTGCTGCCTCACTTATGTGTGCCTAACTAAGAGAACCTTTTAATTTATACAATAAGTATAAATTACTCAAGCTGACATCTTTTTAGGTGACATGGTCTAGTCAATTAGACCCTTGAATTTTCTTCGTTTAGATTCAGTGCAGTAAAAAATGCTTGGCTTAGTTTTTTTTTACCGTAGTTTACTCCAACATATGGGAGAATTATTTTTGATTAGCTTAAATAACAGGGAAATAATGGTTGTAGGCTGTACATATGTCTTTAAAGGCGTATTTAAATTAATGGCATGCTCTGTGCTGCATCAGCTGTGAAGATGTGTTGGCTAAATTTTAAATTGTTTCTACTGGAGTGAAAAATCCAAGTTTATCCGTAGCTGTATGACTCTACTTCATAATTCAAGCAAAAATATGCTTTGCATAAAGCCTGAACAAACCTTTAACAGCTGACATTGTAAGGATGCCTGACCTAACTTTAAGGAAATCAGCGTGAGGCAAATAAATGCTAATGGTGGACGTGACCACTATGAGGGATACTGTGTGTCTTGGATAGCAGAACCCATTAGCATGCGTGCAACAGCCCAGTCTGTCAGGTTTGTGTCTCAGAGAGTAATGACTTTGGCTGCAGCTCTTGCCAGTAAAAAGTACCTCTACTCAACCTCTCCTACATGAAATCCCAAAAATGTGTCCCAGGGCAGAACAAAAGATGGACAATGACAGCCTTGTCAGCAGTGAGGTGGTTTTTAATTAATGGCTAGTCATATTAAACCAAGATGAATCTGCACACAGGTGTCTAGAGAGGATGTGTCATGTTAGTGATAGAGCCTCCTATTGATTCAAGATCTGTGAAACAGTTAATCAGTCAGGAGTTAACCAAGTTGTTTTAAAGTGACTGGTTGATATAATGTAGTTAAATAAAGAGGAGTCTTAACACACACTTTAGAAAATACAGCGAGGCCTTTTGGAGCAGTTCTCAACAATACTTTTTTTATCACAACTGTGTTTAAAGGCATTTGCCAAAATGAGATCATGCTCTGCCAAAAATGTGTACCCATACAAAATTTAAGGTCCAGTAGCCTGCGTTGGTCTGATGATAAAGGTGACCACTGATGTACAGGTTTTATCAGGAAAGAGAAGAATCACATCATTATTTATTATCAGTACAATATGCTAAGTTCTGACTTTGGAAGCCCATAAAAGAATTACTGAAGACATATGCAGGATTTTGGTGATCTCTACTCTGAAGTTACTGTTAAAAGCGCATAGGTACGACTTGTTGTGAAGAAACTGTATAGTTTATAGATAATTGACAGGGGTTAAGTCTATCAGCTCCTGTACACAAAAGTACAGTACGAGCAGTCACTAAAGCCCTCTACAGACCTTGAGAATGGACCGGGGTTGGTTTTTGCTCTGCTTCTTATCTCAGTCACAAGACTGACAATGACTACATTTACATGCACACTAATGTCCAACTATTATTCTCAGTATGAAATATTCAGAATTTTATACAGGTCATGTTAACAGCATATTAAGTTTGAATAAGATTTTATTCCAAATTTAACATTTTCCTATTAAGACATGGGATATGCCAATATTATTTGGACATGTACTGTATACAGCGCATTGGCAATATGCATCTTAATTTAGGTTTTTAGTGCAGTTGGCGACACACTGGCTCTTGCCTGTTTATGGTCAACTATAAACAAATCAACTAGCCAACAGTTTGCAAGGCTGGGGTTGAGATTCATGCGTAAAAGAAAAGCCCGCATTTCTTGGAAGGAGAAGCACTCCTAATTTTAAACATTATAAAAGACATAGTTGGATATCAACTAGTGTTGCACAATATGGATTTTTTTTCCTTTTATGATTATTTTGACAGATATTACAATTTGTGACATGATTCACAATTAGTGGTAATAATCATTTTTGCATCACAATATTTATTTTCACTGAAAAAACTATTTAAATCATGTGGTCTGTACCAAACAGCTTTTCTTACATCTATACAAGATTTGTGAGCCGTGGCCTCTGCAGTACTGCAGTAGTTTTTCACCTGTACACGAAGGTGGTTGAATGAATGGCTGTGTTTGCACAGTCGAACAAGTCTGCCACTGGTGGAAAACATCCTAAAAAATCCTATTTTGATGCAAAGAAGCATAATGGCTCAAGAGGCTCATATCAATTAGCCATGTAAACAGCTTAGTAGGAATAATGTCTTTTTCGGGAAAGGACAAAAAACGGTATTTTGTTAAAATATTTTGTGTGTAAACGTAGTCATTGACTATTATCCTGATGAACTGGCTGAAAGACTGGCTTCTTTGCCCTCAGTCCTGTCTGTGTGATGCTGCCAGTTTTCTCATTTCTTTACTGGAACCACTGCGACTGGCTTCCACACATGCTCTGCCAGGTTACAGTGCACTGCTATCTGAGAATTATTCATGCAGCCAGTGACTTTGTCTTGTTCTGATATTTTGTGGACACATGCTGATAGTTGCTGATAGTGTTCTTTTCCATCTGCCTCAAAGTTTTCTGGATTACTTGCTTAAGACAACCGGCAACAACGAATGATACCGCTTGTGTTGAAAGCCAACCAGCTGAAAATTAGAGCTATAGAAACAGGTAATTAACGGGTTACGTGTTTTACTCGTCCTCAGTCTCTCTTTTGACTGATAGATAAGTACGTTCAGTATCCATGAAAATGCTTGGCAGACATTTCGATTCCTTCTGGTTGGGGCTGGGGGGGGCGGTGGGTTCTCTCTCTCTCTCTCTCTCTCTCTCTCTCTTTGCTTCTGTGAGTATGTGTCTTTCCCTCTCTCTCTTTCCTTACTGGCAGCAGCGTCTGTACTATTGGCAGGAGTGACCAGAATAAAAACAGCAACACCAGACATAGAGGAGGAAGAAAGCAAAGTGAGCCATTGAACCAGAGTCTTTGCCCTCTCTTAATTACATTGAGTCCCATATCTTTTCCCTTTTTTCACCTTTTTTCCCACTCTTAAACACTTCGGGCTTGTGGTAATTAGTTAGAAGAGAATAAAACCAGCTGATCGGGAGAGGGGTGGTGCATTTTGGAGCGAGATGGCTAACAGAAACATTCTGTTGCTCTTCTGTGGACTCTTCCTCTTTGCACTGATTCAGCCCTCTCTTCAAGGAGGTAAGTGTGTGCTACAAGAGAACTGAGCCATGATCTTTGCTGCATCAATCACAGACTTAGAACAGGTGCAATCTCTTTTGTCTATGCCTCTTTGTCTCTCTTTGAGACTTTTACTTATTTTAATTTAAACCTTTTACATAATATATAAACCATATAAGTGTAAATTAGGTGTAATAAAAGTAATGTGTTTAGTGCTAACTTGTTGTTTCGTTCCGCATGATCCCAGTTCTAACTGTAAGAACAGCATTCTGCAATTGCATTGTAATGTTTTTTGTTTTTTTGTGGTTGGTGATTTGAATAAATTAACAATATAAAGCTCCCATGATAGAGTCGTTGTTCAGTCTCACTGATCTTCTGCACACTTACTTAATCACACCACTGTTAAAGAGGACACTATAATAAATAGAATCATATTTACATGTCAGTTGCTGCTCAGTTAGAGGTGAGGTTCGGTACTGTCAAGAGCTTGACCAATACTTGTGTCCCATGGCTTTAAATTGTTACTGGGTTTAACAGTAAAACATAACCCTGAATCATAACTTTGTAATAATTATGTTGTCATATCAATAGTGTTTGTCCAATCTAGAATCAAATTATTAACTAAGCAACCTTTAACTTTTGTGGTCCTCTACAATAGTTTTTCATGGATATGGATATTTTTTATGTATTTCAGACGGTGAAATTGCATCCTACAGACACACCTACGCATTCATAGTGTATGTTTACATGGCTGCAGACCCTATCCTATAACATGTCAGGAAGAGAAGGTTCCAGCTGGTGCCTCTTTTCACACCTGCAAAACCAAATACTTTAAATTCACCCCTGTTGCACTCCCAGGTGGACCGATAGTATATGTTGAGTGTCACCTTTACAGCTTTGACCAGGTCTTTTCTTGAAGTTGAATTGAATTGACTGTTCTTCCCAGAATCCATGAAGCAGCAACGTGCAGATTGGAGGGGGTTAGTTTCAAGTGCAGTTTGAAGTTACGGCTTATGTGTTTCAGACAAAGAAAGAGAGGGAGTGAGGGAGAGGTTGTAAGCATGCCTTACCTTCCACTCTCATTCAACCTGTGAGTTCGCCTTTTCTCCCCTTTTTGCATTGCTTCGACTTGGTTCTTGGTCAGTATTTTGGCCGAGATTCCCCGAGTTTTTCAGCCCCCAACTGGAAAACATATTTAGCATCTGGAGCTGGGTATGCTGCAGTCAAGAAGTTTTTTGTTGTATTTATTTGCTCAAAACAGCTGTTTATGTTCCTTATCTTCCAGTGTCCAAGTGTCCTTTTGGATGCATTATGTTTAGATTGTTAAATTCCACAAAAGTAATACTTTGCCCATATAAAGTCAAATTTAGCTGTTTAGTCCGCCTCCTCTAATTTGATCATTTTGACAAAGTCTACCAAGTCTGTTTGGTCAAGTATCATTTTAAAATGTACTTGACCTTCTCTCTGTCTCATAGCACGTTTATCCTTTCTTTTTTGTGCCAGCCACATTTTGAGGGGCATCCAGATAGCAAAATCCATAGCAGGTGATGGAGCCAACAAATATCAGTGTTGCCTTAGCAGCACTTTGATCTCAAGTGAGCATTGAATCCGTCCATATCAAACTTTTCTGTGGCTCAAATTAGTTCCATCTGTGTCTGTGCACTCTAACTTGGAAAACAAATCCCAGCATGGTCCAAGGGTCAATTATCTGTGAGTAACACGAACCTCATTAACACCCAATCCACTCATTTAATGCCTCTGCACAGAAAACACAGATTGTGCTTGCGAAATTCACTCCTTGAATGATGATGGAGTGCAAGGCCTGAATGTTTTCATTGACAAGTGTAAATGAGTTATGGTCCTAGAGGAAACATCTGGGAAGGAGTTTGTTAATAAACATACCTTATCACATAACCCTGTGACCTTGTGCATGTACTGTTTGTTGGTTCTCTCCAGTATAATGGAGAAGGCAGACTTAATTTACATTCTACAAACAAACATCTGTCACACGGATACAGTGAGTTGAATGTTATTCTTATCAAAATAAATTTGCATTGACTTAGCTTGGGCTCAGTCATCTCTGTTTTTTATTGCTAGATTTGATTACTGAATCAAACCCAGGCCTACACCAAATTCTGTTGATTAAATTATTTGAATAGATTGCTTAACTTAGGAATTTAATCAAGCTTATTTTTTACTGCCCTTATAAAAGGAAGAGTAAACAGGCCATAAGGGGCTTGCACATTTGTTGTGAAATGATGCCAATATTGCTTTATTATTTACTTTTACATACCCAGAGCGTATCAAATGTCTCTTCTTTTTTTTAACCTTCACATGTGTTGTATTCCTCCAGACAACCTCAAAAACCAACTGGTAGACATTTCCCAAAGTCCTTAGTTTGGGTTTTATGAGTTAATAGCATGATTCTGAGAGGGAAAGGCCAGTGGGAGATGAAGAAGGAAAAATAGCTGCTCTGTTCCTTCACAGTCTACAAAGAATTAAAGAGGTTGTGTGATGTTTTCTTTAATACTGATGAAAGCCAATTTGCCTCATTTGGCATTGGCTTGAGACTTTAGAGGATGTTAATACATTAATCAGTGACACTCGCATGGCTGTGAAGTTAAACGAAATCAATGCAGATTGGATGGCACGCCTTGGCTGTCACAAAACACTAGTGATGAATTGCAGCACTATCCCAGCATTGCTGGTGGATACCTAAACTGATTGTCTTGATTCCCCAAGCAAGTGGTGCTTTGGGCTTTATTGGTAGCATGTGTTATGAACACCTCTCTGGTTCTAATCCCTCTTCTGGCGAGACTGAGTGCCAACCACAGCACACTGGATTAATGTGACACAGAGGCATCCCAGTGCTCAACAACTCTAGACTGCAATTAAAGAAATAGACCATCTGAAGGGAGACAGAGAGTTTTTTCTTCAGTGAGGTTTTTTGTTCAATTTCTTCAGCTTCTTATGCTGGACCTGCAAAAGCATTTTAATTTGTTGATGTTGTGCTCTTTGGTGTAATTTGCAGTGAGGTGACCTCATTCCGTACTTACTGGGAAGGAGCCTTTTGGTACAAGCAATGACTAACCAGAGTTTACTGTTGAGAAGGAACTATTATTTCATGCATTTGTGTCTTGCTCTGGCACACGGCTTCGGAAAGCGTTAGGAGATTGGACAATTACATCCACAGTTTGCGGTTTTACATCAAACAAGTTGCCTGGCTTGGAAGTCACTCTCTGCATCAAAGCTCGCAGCCAGAAGCTATTATGTTTTGGTCAACAGGTTTTCCCTATCACCATATTTACTGTTACTACTGTTAAGAGTGTTGTAGTCACCAGACTGGAGTTCTAATAGTTAATAGTAATTGAAAAGGACTGTAATGCAAATGTCTAGAGTACAACTCCACTATACACATAATTTTTTACTGTCAGTAGTCTTACCTTTGTAAATCTGTTAAATACAATCCAATTCCTGACTCGCTGACATGCAATCTAACGTTTGTTTAACTTAAACGCCTTCAGTTTTCTCTCATAGCCATCATCCTACATATGTAGATAGAGCTTGAGCACAGTTATTGTGAGGGAATTCACAAAGTAGTGAGTCCTCCTCAACCATTGCTAGAAACAACATATCGGTTAATAATTTGTTAAGCTCTTATTCTTTGGTTGTGGATAAATGTCAGTCTTAGCATCTCCCAGAGAGTTGTTTGGTCTGCAATCACCGAGTGCCAAGTATTCAACAAAGAAGCACATTAACTCAGATGATTCATTCCAGCCACTCCGCAAGCAGCCCTTACCAGGCTGTGAGCTGCTCGGAGCAGTCTCCCTGTGCCAGCAATCTGAAATGGCTCCTGTCAGGAATGTTTTCATCTTGACCCGCCACTGCCTGCTGATCAACATGCTCTTCTAGGTTTACATACAACATGACAACATGAGCACAACATTGGTGTAAAAAATATTGTTTTAATAAAAAAAAATCCATAACTGATGAGAAAAGATGGTAGTAAAAATTACATTCTGATTAAACACATTACGTCAATATAATCACAATCCTCTGGCATGAAGACATTGTATGATGTGTGTAGTAACAGTTTCAGTGCACTTTTTTTGAGACGGTGGGGGTGACCACCTTTAGGCTTTTGGCATCAATAAGTCAGTCTAAACCAAACAAAACAGCATTTCTGTAAATGTTTTTGGTTTAGCAACACAACTACTGGAGAACATGTCCCATTCCCAGATACACATAAATCATAGATTTTATGTCTTCCCCGTTCAGCTGTGTAAACTGCTTTTGTCTTTGCCAGGATAAAAGTAAAGTGTAAACGTCAATATCGTGTTCATAAACCTGATTGATGATTCTTCACTCAGTAATGTTCTTTCTCACAGCTCAGATGCTGAGCTACAATATTTCAGGGAGTTCATTCCAAAGCGTTGGCGGCCTTAGCTATATTTAAGCCGTTTCAATTGAAATGGGCCCCACCTTTGGAAGGTCCCCTGACTGACATGAAAGAATAAAAAAATTCACCCACTTTTTAAGAAACTACCTATTTTACTTAATGTGCAGAGGCATGGACATGGGAAGAAGGGGTGCTGCTACCCCCTCAGCACCCCTAAAACCAGGCATTATCAAAACCATCTATTGATTTAGAGGAGAGAGAGCGAGAGAGAGGGAGATTGTGAGTATGGACAGAAGTGTTGACATGATATAAAACCTTCTTTGATCATGAAGCCTAATGTTTCTGTACAGTTCTGTGGTTTATCAGTGAAGTGCACTGCAGACTGGAGCCTTTTGTTAACAGTGACAGACAGACACATCAGAGTTATATATGTGACCCCCATATTCTTAAGGCCGCCACTGTTCCAAAGGACAGGAGAGTTGTTTTTTTGATTTGAAAACAAAAACTTATATTTCATCAGTTTATACATCTCAGTCATACCTCTGCTATTTTCAGGAATCACATTCATCTGTACGTTGATTTTGTTTGTTCTATTTGATCTGACATTTCATATCTGATAGCT